GTGTCATTGGCAAACTTGCTGAGGGTGCACTCAATCCCACTGTCCATGTTGCCAACGAAGATGTGGAACAGCGCTGGTTCCAATACCGACCCCTGGGCAACACCACTTGTCACTGGTCTCCACTCAGACATGGAGCTGTTGACCACAACTCTTTGAATGTGAACATCCAGCCAATTCCTTATGCACTGAGTGGTTCACTCATCAAATCATGGCTCTCCAATTGAGAGACAAGGACATCGTGCAGGACAGTGTCAAATGCTTTGCACCAATACAGGTAGATGAGGTCAGTTGCTCTTTCCTTATGCACCAACAGTGTAATCCAGTCATGGAAGGCCACCAGATTTGTCAGGCATGATTTGCCACTAGTGAAGCCATGCTGTCTGTCACTACTCACCTCCTTATTTTCTATGTGTGTTAGTACAGTTTCCAGGAGGATCTGCTCCAAGATCTTGCAAGGCATGGAGGTGAAACTGACTTACTTGTGGTTCACCATGTCTTTCTTTTTCCCCTTTCTAACATGGAGGTTATGTTTCTGCTTTTCTAATCAGTGGTAACTTCACTGGACTGCCACAACTTCTCAGATATGATGGTTAGTGGCTTTGCAACATAACCTGTGGGTGGATCTCCTCAAAGTGGTAACTTCACTGGACTGCCACAACTTCTCAGATATGATGGTTAGTGGCTTGGCAACATAACCTCTGGATACATCTCATCAAGTCCTGTGGACTTGTGCACCTTCAGGCTCCTTAGATGGTATGAAACCTGGTTTTCTACAGTGGGTTCTTCTGCCCTTAAGATTCGCATTCCTCACCAGCCCCACGTTTTTGGTGAAAACAAGATAGAGCATGGCACCTCTCATTGTTGGCTCCTCTATCACTTGGAGAAGCTTAAGTCTGCCATGGGGACCAGGGCTTGTGAGTGTGAGGGTGCTCCCCTTTGTCTATAGAGGACCTCATCCATTCAGTCTTCCTGGTTGAGTAGCTTGTAGTGGTACCGCACTATAATGTCACCTGTCCCTGCCCTCCCTTTAATCCTGACCCATAAGCTTTTGGTTAGCTCCTCATCCATCCTCAGTTGGAGTTCTATGCACTCCAGCTGGTGTCTGACATGGAGAGCAACACTCCCTTCTTTTCTCCCCTGCCTGTCCTTCCTAAAGAGACTGTATCCTTCCATTCCAGTGGAAGGAAGCCATTCAGTCATAGGAGCCATCCCACCGTGTCACTGTGATGTCAAGATCATAGCCCTGCAGGCGTGTGCATGTCTCTAGCTCCTCTTATTTATTCCCCATGCTAGATGTATTTGCATAGAGGCACTTAAGTTGGGCCCCTGATGAAGATGAGTTACTGGTTGGAGTGGCTGGAATTCCTTTGTGCTGCTCTTCAGGTGCTCTCCTACTGACCTGTGATCCTCCTCCAAACTCTGGGCATCTATTGCTGTCACTGGTATCAAACCAGTAGGAGTGGGATGAATTTGGGCTGCCCTCCCCCACCAACCTTAGTTTAAAGCCCTTTCCACCAGCTTGGCAAGTCTGTAACTGAAGATGCTCTCCCTCTTCTCAGACAAATGAATCCCAACATCCCCAGTAGACCAGGTTTATCAAACTTTAAATTGTCAGTTACAGCTGAAACCAACCTTGGTATTTAAAGAAAAGTAAATAGCAAATATAACTATTCCTTATAGCATACTACAAGCATACTATTTTTACTTCAATTATTACTATATTAATGTATTATCTATGTGTTCTTACCCAATGAATCAGAAGAAATTACTTTTGTGCTTCGTGGACGGTTGATCAACTTTTCATGCTATTGGAAAAAAAAGGTTTTGAGGAAAAAGAAATTATTCAATGAGTAAAAGGTGAAGCATAGGAAATGGAAGTAGACTGCAGTAAATCTGTGCTTAAGATTAGTCCTACCTACATAGAGAATTTTTGTCATTATTTAAAAAAGTTAATACCATCAGCAGGTAAAAATCACCATGCAGCTATTAAAATAATGAAACTAAGTCTGTTTACACTAAATGGATGTTTACTGCATTTTATTTAAAGGTTTGATATATGAAACTTTGTAAGTGTTTGACCAGTAGTATTATGTCATGTCTGCTGTATAGAAACTGGGCATGTAGAACGTTTGTATAGAATCTTTGTACATGAAATGAATTCTAAATGCAAATACTGCATTAACTTTGCCTTCCTGTCTCTGTGTTCTTATTCCAACTGTGTGCATACCATACTGTTTCAAGTAAAATAAGAGTTTCTAGGTATGCAGTAGCTATTGTTAGGTGCAGAAATCATACTATGTATTTAGCTATAGTTATTAATTTTACATGTTTCAACTCAATTATAAATCACTAATAATCATCAGAATTCATAGAATCGTAGAATAGTTTGGGTTGGAAGGGTCCTTAAAGATCATCTAGTTCCAACACCCCTGCCATGGGCAGGGAAATTCAAAAGACAAGTTCCTTTAGAAAGTACAGAGTTCTTCCTCTCTCTTTCTCTGAACAGTGGAGAGAAGAAAACAAATTGCAGCATCATAGAATGTTTTGGGTTGGAAGGGACCTTAAAGACCATCTAGTTCCAACCCCCCTGCCATGGGCAGGGACACCTTCCACTAGACCAGGTTGCTCAAAGCCTCATCCAGCCTGGCCTTGAATTGAAATCAAGAAGAGATTAATTTGTGACAAGTGAAGTTCAGCTTTTTTTTTTTTTTTGTTAAAAGCTGTAATTGTAGTCTCTTAGTGCCCACATTACTTTTGTCACACAGGTTCAGTTGTATTATCTGGTTGTATGTGTTCAGCTTTCAGTGTGAGACTTGCTTCAGGTTTATTCACGGAGGTCCTTTTTTCCTTTGTGAATTAAGAGCATGAAACTGACTAGATAAATTACTCTGCTTTTCCTGCTGGGCATACTGAGCCTTGCTGAAATTATCTTAAATACTTTCATAATGAAGACTTTATTTATTGTTCAATATTTGGAGTGTTTCATAGGTATTGAGCTACACATCCAAAAGGTTGTGTTTTCATAACTGTTACCTATTTACCTGTGAATTAAATACATTTTCATTAGGCCTGTGTTCAGTTATCTTGGTAGGGGGCTTCAGTGTGCACAGGATGCACACAGGAGGCACAGCTTGGCAGTGCAAAACCATTCTGTACTCATCCTGAGATTTGAATCTGCCTTGTCTTGCATGCTTCTACAGCAATTCTGTCAGTGGATGTGCCCTAGTGTGCAGATTGCTTAACACAGCTAAAAAAGACCTAAAAATAAAGGGAATATAAAGCTCTTCCAGAAGGGGTCATTGTTTTTCTTTCAAGACATTTTCTTTGGCTTTGTTTAACTATACATTTATATTTAAACTTATTTTCATTCATTAATGAGAATTTAGCACCTCAAAGGTCTGTATGAGATTTAAAATTTACTGTAGATTAACTCAATTCCCCATGCATTCACTTTAATCTGAACCACTTTATGCTACTTAATGTTAAAATAGAAGTAAAAATTATAAGAATTGAAAATGAGTGTTGTTTAGAAATAGTGTACTAATATACAATGCACTAGATCAAAAACATTAAATCTGCCTTAGATTAAAGATTAAATATCCGTGGTGATGTGCTAAATTCACCCACAGGTCAGCTGCACTGGCGTGTGGCCCCACTGTTCTGGTTGACAGCGTAAGTAAAATACTCCTAGCACTCAATGCAGTTTTCCAGTCTGGAAGGCCCTTCAATTAGCTAAATAACTGCCGTTCTGAAGCAGAGGATCACATGCTATTTTGCTGTTAGACAGTCATTAGACATCAAACTTCAGCAGAATAGTAATTTGATAATGCTTGTATCTATTACAACAATGTCTTTTGCAAAGCACTCTGATTTCAGTCAGTAATACTGAAGTGCTCTGGCAAATGGACCTCTCAGATATGACCAGACTCCACTAGCATATCAAACAGGTCAGACAGAAAAGGAGAAATTAAGATTTTAAACTCTTTGGCCCAGTTTTACATAACTACAACTGCTTTGAATTCAGTAGAAATACTAATGATATGCACAAACATACTTGACAACAAATCTAATCCACTGCATTTGACTTGTGTTTAAAATAGCAGGTTTTTCCAACTGGTGTTTTCTAATGTTGAGGAACTGAAAGCTCCATAAATAGGAATTGTTAGTGAATCAGCTACTCTTGTACAAGTGTAGCATGTTTAAACTAAAACCAGATGTGAATGGTTGCATGTGAGGTAAACAATCACTTCTTTCACCACTGTGAGAAATATATTTGTGATTGTGATATAATCCGGATCACTATATGTGACATACAACATGCCTCAGCACTGATTTTCTGAAATGATGCAATAACTCTGTCTGTAAGCAGACTTTTTGTGCATCAAACTTGGGTCCTCTGTGCTTGAACACATTTAATTGAAAGTAGAGCCACTACTCAAAAAAGTAGATGTAGAGAAAATATTCTCAAAGATTGTCATTATTCCTGAGGTTTGGCTTAATTTCTAATACTATTTACAATTTACCAGCAATGATCATGTTCTACAGTTCCTCTGTTTATTTCCATTTACATGTGTAGGCTGCCTGGGTGCTCCTGCGTACCCACATATAATATGTATTCTTACACAATTATACAGACTGACCAGACTTCAAGATCTCCGCCACACTGGAAAGAGGAAAGACAGCCTTAGATTTAGTAGGAGAAGAGGGGTAGTCGAAAATATTTGTTTTGATTTAGATCATGTTACTGTATGTATTTTGATATTAAAATGTATACAAATTTAATAACAGTAGTTTAGTAGCAGCTTTTTGTACACTATATGGAGCTTATACCTAGGCTCTTTTAAAAGATTACAATGAGATTTTAGTACAGGAATATTAATTTATGTAGGAATAGCTTTCACAAGAGATGGAGACAATTGCCCACATGGCTGTACTGCAGAGGCTTATCAGGCATAATAGGAGAATCAGGTCATAGGAGAAAGACAGGTTACATGAACCATTTAATGTTCCCCCAATTTGCAATTCTGCACTCCTAAGACAAGGACAGAAAGAGTATATAACTGACACTTAAGTAATAATTTCTCAAGGCCATTCCATTTGGGGAGAGCAAATGGGTGAAAAACTTCTAGTAAACACTTTTTTCTATGCTCATGCTTAGATGAGAGAGCCTCCCACCTGCTAAGAGAAATTATGAGGCTGTTTGTACATTGCTGATGGATCAGAACTGCTCCATCAGTGACTCCTGGGTGTATCTGTAAAGCAAAAATCATACCAAGATCCTTTTGCCTAATAAAATGTGGTAAGGGAAAAAGGGAAAGATCTTTAACATTATCAAGTGAGAGACCCACCTTCGGTAATGTCAGTGCTAATTTACACAGTGGAGAGTGGTGTTGATAGTCACCATATTGTAAAGGATGTCCCCGTTCCTTGGTTAGCATCTCTCTGGTGATTTTATAAAACACTGCTGTGCCTTTGTAATGAGGTGAGCTGTAGTTACCAAATTCATCCACTTCTTTAATATGGAGCTCCAGCCTGGGTTTTCTTTGTGAATGAAAAATCAGCTTGTAGGTGTTCCCAAAATCCCTTCCATCCTCTGTAGTCCATTAAAAAGAAAAAAAAAGAAAAAAAACCAAAACCCAACAAAAAAAAATCAATATTTTATTCAGATGTGTGGCATCAAAAATAATTCATCAGGCTGAGTGAAATAGAGCTGATCACATAATGTTCAGTTGTTCTCTATCATCACTATTATTACTTTATATTGAACATCTGAATGTCAAACATTCCTGCCAGCCTGCTTCAATAATTGAGATATCTTCATAGTTAGCTGTCTTAGCCCCTGAACTGTTGGCATAAGTGGTGAAGGCTGTGCTACAATTTGAAAAGTAAGGAAGGGGATAAAGTACATAACACAGAAATAAAAATAAATTGGTGTTACGAATGGAATTAGAAGTATATGTTTCTGGTTATTCAGGATGAATAGATTCTGTCTATCTGTAACAACAAAAGGAATGGAGCCAGAGAGGTATGTGCATTTTTAGGATTTGTAATTCCATTTTAATTGCTACATCTGTAACAGCGTTCTTTGCATATATAAACAGGCATTCCTTGGGGGCTGGAGACTTCCCTTTTTCAAGAATAATCCCTTATTTAGGGTAAATGGAGTTTTCAATGGGAGAGTTTATGTACAAACTATTCAGAGGGTCAAATATATAATTACATGTTCTTTCCAAAACTGTTAGAAAAGACTATGTAATTTTGGGTGAAAATCATCCTGAGGCTTCTTGTCTCTTTTCCCTTTAAGCAAATCTTGGAATGGTGGCAGCCACTGCATAGAATTTTCAAGACTGCTAATGGAAACAATATAACTCTATCTCATCACCTCAATTTATAGGGCAACATTTTGCCCTGTATTTCAGTGTTTAATCTTGCTCACTTTAAGTGAATTTACACAGATAAAATAGCAGGCCCCTTTTTTTTTTTTGTGTGTGTGTGTATAATCTGTTTAATTCCTATCAAATGTCCTTTATATTAAAAAGCCATTGATGGAATCCTGCCCTTTTGAAACAAAAGATAAAATACCAGTGGTTTCTGAGGGACCAGGTTTCACAGAATGCCAGAGATTAGAAGATATTTCTGAAGATCATCTTGTCCAACCCCCCTGCCCAAAGCAGGGTCACCTAGAGGCAAGTTGCTCAGGATCTTGTTCATCAGGTACATTTTATTTTTCAGTTAGAGCGCTTTCACATGTAGTTCCATGCACCTAGCATTTACAAGAAATAAAACACGAAATATCTAAATGGGCTGTCACTAACCACAGTCTACAGGGTTTCTAAACAGCTGAGGTGGTTGACAGCATTCATCCAGATGCAGGAATTAATTGCCTTACCTGAAGCAAAAATATTGCCTCTAAATCTAAAATGAATCTGCTCTCCTTCTCTTAATGGGAACTGCTGCGTAGGTTCTGGGGGACCGAAGTAGCCCTCCTCATGGAGATTTTTAAGTTTGCAGGTCAATTCTTTGGATGCAGATAACAAAACTACTATTTTATATGGATTTTCTCTTTTCCGATACAGTATCACATTAGCCATTGTACTGCGAACAGCTTCTTCCATTGCCTGAGCAAAGAGGAGAAGGTACATGCTTTCCAAGGGGAACAAAAGGCGAATGACAACAAAGCTGTATTTAAAAAAAAAAAAAAAAAAATTAGAGCTATCTTAAATAATTTTATCAACAACTAACAATTTATTATGCAAAATGATACAGGGCTCAGTCTCCAATGGACCTTTTGCTAACTTCTTTTCATTGTTTCCAACACATCAAAGGGTAGAAATTTGCCTGCTTCTGTAGTGCAGAGCACATCAACTCTGCGTCTATGAACTCAGCTACATACGAATTTTAGACAAAAGTAAGAGACTATTTCTGTATAAGTAATTTCAAAAGTTATTATGGTTTTGTAGTTAGAGGCTAAATCACATTTTTCAAATTAAGATTAATATCTGCATTTTCTGTTTCAAGTTTTGTATATATTACATGGTGTACAGTCTGTAGGTGAAAAATATTAAAACAAATTTATTTTTCCATAATTATGAGTAACAGATCTGAATGATCTTATATTGCAAAGTATATAAGAGATTATATTATTAGTTAAGAGATCTTAACTCTACTAATTTCCATTGATCCACATACTTGTAAGTAAATATTTTAGTAAATAAAATATTATTATTCATACATTACCTTTCTAAATGCTCATTTAGTTCAAAGGCTACAAGCCCATTCCGTGCACTCTGGATAATAACATCATCAAACATCTTCCACCCCTCTTCTTTGTTTCTGTGACCTAATAATTTCAAAGTACCACTGAGATTCTCCCCATTTTTTCTCACAGTAGTACTCACAGCCCTGGAAAGACAAGGAATTGTAGGAAAAAACATAATGAAAAATAGATCCTTCAGAAAGAGTAAGATAGTATTTGTAGCTCTACTTTCCCTTCTACTTTCCTTGATGACTACATGTGTTTTTCTCACCTTGCTGAAAATTTACATGTGGAACTATACTCCAGAGTATGTAAGTGATATAACTGTTAAGAGATAATTTAATTTTTTTTTTCAACTCTCCAGAAAGAGGAAAAAAGAAGTAAAAAATTTTCTGCTAAATTAATCTAGATTAATCTATCATTTAATATCATACACAGTAATTATTATGAATTGCGTTTTGGTCCTTCATCAAGACTTAGATTCTCTAGAAGTAGATATCTAGAAGAAAAACAAACCCATCTTTTTTTTTGGAAGCAAATACTACTCAATAAACACAAAGGGGTTTAGAAAATAACACGACTGCTATCCATTATCTCTTTTAATAGAGAAAATAAAAGTAGCTTCTCCTCATATCAAGTGATTAGTTTGATGTCACCCTCAGAATCAAGCACCTGTGCCATGACATGCTCTAGCTAATTTATCCCAGTGAATGAAACATGAGTTTGGGTTGTGGGTTTTTTTGTGGGTTTTTTTTTTCAGAAGAACATGACTTTCTTCTCACACATACCCCTCCTTATCAGGTGTGGTTTGTTTTTTGTTGGGTTTTTTTTGTTTGTTTGGGGTTTTTTTGTTTGTTGGTTGGTTTTTTTGAGAACTGGATATGAATAACCCATTCACCTCAAATGTACACCCTATGTATAATCCAGAAAAGAAGTTACTCCAGATGGGACGCCCTAAGCATTTCTCAAACATACAGCCTAAGTCTTATTGCAAATACAGGAAAATGCTGGCATCACTTTCTAAGGAATTGGTATAGAAATAAGCACTGAAGCCATGATCTTTCAATAGATGTGCTTTGACTGAGAATCTAAAATGACATTTAGACTAGTATTAAGAACAGACAGATGCCATGAGGATACTGCGACACAATTAAATGCTTTTGGTAAAGGAAATTAAATTTGAATCTCCTGTAAACTGAGGTGAGCACCATTCCCAAATATGAATTTTGTGATAAAGATGGATATATAGTCTAAGAGACCATTGTGAGTGCAAGCTCTTTTGAGAAGAGGTCAGCTTTGGCTTTTTTTCACCAAAAATTTTTTTACATATTCTCATTTGCACGATTTTATTGAACTGCCCATTAAAAACTGAAATTCAGAGTGTTTTTAGGAGTCCCCATGTTTTAATGCTTTTTAAAGACACTCCAAAAGGTCTGAATTTTAGAAATTTTTAGTGAGTCATTTGGAAAAATCTGACTCTTCATGTAGTTTGTCAATTACCACAAAACTGACATACTCCAAACCATTGCATCATCAGTTTTGACTCATGCAGCCATTGCTGTGTGTAGAAGCAGAGACCAGAAAATTCAAAGGCCAGGGCAGTCAAACCACCAACTGGTAAAATAATGATTACAGCAGCTTTGAGACATGGTTATTTTCTATGTTCAATGTTTGGCTTTAGTGAAAATGGCTGAAAATTTCTTGCAGAAAAAAACCCATGCATATTTCATCCTGACCATACGAATTTTCATGGTGAAGCTATAGCATGAGAATTATGGGGATTTGCTCCAGTGTTTCTAACAATACTTCTAAGTATAGCAGACTCTATTAAGAAACTAACACATTTTTAATACAAAAAATATTAATCAGCAACTGTTACAATTAATTTGTTTTCATGTTTTGAAAATGTTGAATTTGTAATGCAGTTGTTCTTACCACGGATGGTATGCCATAGCAACCCTCTTTACTGTAGCACTGATAGCTCTCGCATGTTCTGTTTCATCTCCTTGCCTTTTTTTTTCTGGATTTGGAGGACAAGGCAGAGTTATAGTGATTGAGTTGTTAAATGTCTGGGCTGAAGGATGCAGGACATAAACCAGTGCACTAGTAGATACCACTGAGTGGAACATATCGTGTCTTGCTTTCAGTGCGGAAACCAATGATGGTTCAATTGGCTGAACCTAAATATGGAAAACAGTTGTACAGTTAATTTGGAAATGAATAAATATTCTCTTAGACTTCTGTTTCTTTACAAATTGATTCACTTTTTGGAATTGGATTAGACTATCACAGAAGCTTTAGGCTCCTATCCATAACCCAGAAACAAACTTAGCCGATCAAGCACTTCACAGAATTCACAAATAAGTGCTTGAAAGTCATCTTTCAATCTGGAAACTTTAATGACTAAAATATTTTAATGGTTTTGTTCCTGCTTTGAGTTCAAGTTTTGAAACTCCTGAGCTCCCTCAGAGATTGCTAATTTTCTAAGATTTTTCAAATCTGTATTTTTTCCTCTATTAATTTTACTTTCTCTGTACTTTAGAATCAATGTCTTTTTATGGGAGAAGGGAGAATCAAATTATAACTGAAGCAAATTTTGAGATTATTGTCAGCGTAAAACTAAGGCGACAAAAGCTTCTTTTGCACTGCCTTGTACAAATGATGATGGTCAGGTGAGAAAAACTGTTCCATTAACTTAAACACTGGGCCAAAAAGTTGAAGTCTGGAGTTGATGCTTACATCATTGTTGAAAACAGCTCTATTTTCTGAAGTATATCAAACAAAGGTAGAGCATTCTTCTTTTTAGCTAGAGATATCATGTTGACTACAGATAATATTATGTGGCTCTAACAAAGTTGACAGGAAAATGTTTGCTGTGTATACAGGAAGTTGAGCTGCAACCACTTTTCACTTTTAATAATGGAACAGCTTGTCCTTTAACATTATTGGCATCCTTGCTTCAGAACTGATCAGATAACAGACTTATGGAACAAATATTATGTATTTCAGGCTCACCTTTAACTGCATGTGTGCTGGAGAACTAAATGTTTCTGGAGGGTAATAGAATGAGATTCTTGAATCCACACTCAGCTTTTGCAAGAGTCCTGTCTTTGGAACAGTAAATTTTTCTTTTTTTAAGCATGACAAGACAGAAAAAAAACCCAGCTGATAAATTTTCACCTCTGCAAAGGTTTCCTGTGTAAATAAAACATGGGGTTAGAGTACATTGGAGGGAAAGGAAGCTGCGTTCCACAGCAGATGAGCATTTTGAGAAGGAAACATTATTTACAGAGCAAGCTGTGAAATGAAAATAAATTAAATATTATGGCCACCTGCATGCCCATCCGATGATCTCTAGTTATCATGTAATGTCATTAATTGCATCTCATGTAATGTCAGTATATGATTGGGGTGAAATGAAATAAGCTCGTAAACTGGCCCAGTGCAATTCTTTTGCAGCTAAAAAAATCCTATCCTGTGTTTCTTTGAGATGGACTTTAGATTCATACACACAGAATTGTGTTACTTCTCCATGATCTGAATGCAAAATAATTCTTAAGTTTTTACTTTTGTTACAGTTATTTACAAAAATCATGAACCACTACTCAGTCATTACTACTGTGGGATCAAGCACTTGCTTTAACATGACAAGCAAAGAAAAGGGCCTTGTTAAATGCTAGGTTTCAAACAGAATTAGTTCTTGAGGAAGTGAGAAGAAAAGTTCAATTTAACCCTATGTAACGGGCAATATAACTTAATAATGACAACTTTACTAGTATAACTCTGCAGAGGCTTAACAGGGAACCTTGAATTATGCTTTTACAATACTCAGATAAGAGGTTACCAACCTTATGATTTCCTTGGTATCTCTCCAAAGAAACAGGAGTTAAGTAATTTGATTGAAAGTTCACATCAGTCACCTTCACCATAATCTCTCGATAATTTCCTCTGAAGCATGAAGTAAATGGAATTGCAATGTTGATAGGGAAGGGGATTGCTTTCTCGTAATCAGAGCATTCAATACTGATGACATTGCTGACCAGCTCCTCAGAATCATCCACCACCAAGGAACTAGTGTCATTGACTATCTTACACTTCAGATTTTCCAGAGTAGTTGCAGGGGCTTGAATAACACAAGCTAATTCATGTTCATTCTTACCACTCTTTTCCGCTAGAAATCTGGAGAAAAAGAATATAAAATATTATTCTTTGTATTTTAGGTGGTGGGGTGTCTTCTGTTTTCAATTAAATACTTTAATGATGTGCTACATTGTAGCATAAGCAGATAATTCACAAAAACATATGTTTACAAATATATGGGAAAATCATGAAAGTTTTTAGATTTACCGAGTTTCAGAACAAATTATTATAGAAATGACTATTTGGTGTCCTTTCCTACTGTTTTCCGACAATTTTGGAATTACTGGCTTTACTGGTTGTGAATCAGCACTTCTCTGGCATTAAAAAAAAAAAAAAAAAATTATGTAATCAAATTGAAAATTAGAGTTTAGACCAAATGGAAGATCTTCACTGTGCATGCTTAAGTTGTAAACTCCCATTATATGCATGACCAACAGCTGTTCGGTGCATGCGTATTAAGTTTATATGTATGCTAATAAGCAATATTTATGTACGTGTTCCTAAAAAGAGTAATATGTGCTTACACCATGTGCCTAGATTTCCGTACTTCTTCAGAGTCATTCACAGAAGGATTCACAGCAGTAAGATCACATGTTTGTGCTGAAGATGTGAAGGTAGTTAGGTAATTTCTACAAATCTCACTATTTCTTTCCATTTTACTGTCTTCCATTTGCTCTGTCAGTCTGTGTTCTTCACTTTCTACCACGGTTGAAGATTCTTTGAGTACTGCCTTTTTTTTCTGTTCAAAAAGACTCATGACAGTTCTGTCATGAATGTCCCCCAATGTCCCAGATAAAATGCCTTCCCCACTGCTTGTAAAGGCATCTTGGAAAACCACTTCTGCAGACGTTTCAGTTGCAGAGCTACCTTCATGAGGTTTATCTTCTTTTTCTGTAACAGAGTTCATTAGTAGTCTGTATTCACCATCTTCCCTTTGCACTGGAGGTTCTCTGCTAATGTCCTGTTCTTGAGCAAATATGTTTTCAGCTAATGATGCAACAATGTCTTTTTCTGCAGTTTTAGTTTCACTTGGCTGGATTTGATTAACATTCTGACTTTCTGTCTTGTTCAGGGATTGGAACTGATGATGGGGACTAGAAGGTGCTTGCACAGACGCTGTTGCTTCTTCAGAACAACACACATCTGTTTCCCTAGAAGGATTTTGAGCAGTCTGGATCTGAGAATCATCATCTTCACTGCAGCTAGGAGCAAAAAGTTTATTTTCTTCCTTTTGAAGGTGTGAGATGGTATTTATCATGCAATCCTTCATTTTCTGCAGATAATCTGCAATTCCATTGTACTCTAAAGAAAAAAATAGGTAATTCAATAATTTTGCTATGCAAGTTAGCAGAAATGTGAAAACTCTTATACACATACCTAATGAATTCCACCTAACTCCATGGTGCCATTCAGTATATTGTGCACCATGTATTTCCTGATTTCCATCTAACATTTTTGCATTTATTGCTTATTATTGAGTGAATTACTGAAGAATTAAACATGGACAAGTACAGTTTTATATTTGTCCAGGTACAACTATGTATTTGTCAAAGTACTACTGTGGCAACTCTAATGAACAGCTTTCCAGTGATCTGACACTAGCGAAGTTCTTAATGACAATCAATCTAAAGCATGGAATTGGTAAACAATAGGCAAATCAATTTGGGAAGAGCCTTACAACTTAACTTTAATTATATACATTACCTAAAATTGAATGCTGCAAGATTCTAACACATGGGTCTCTAACAAAGCTGTTATACATGGGATCAATATTAAAGAGGCATCAGAAACATCATATACAATGATGAAGTTCAGCCGTTTATGACATCCAGGTATAGGAATGGTAGAGGCTGCTCTTGTATATAATTTAAAAACACTTGGAGAAGAAGGATGCACAAAAAACATGCAATCAATATATGCCATTCATGTAAGATTTCATCTTTAACATATTTATTTTATGATCCCTCATTTTTCCGATCTTACACTTTTCCTTAATTTAAACCTACGAAGAGTACAGTTCAGAAATTTTTTTTTTCTTCTTGAACTCAGTCTAAAAATGATTCATTTACAACACTTTCTTATTTCCCAAATGACTTGTTATTGGATTTTGACTTTATTTAAAGGAAAAAAAAAAAAGTAAACAGTTTCTAATTTTTTTTTTTTCCACTGGTAGTTCAAAGAAAAAAATAGGTTTGTTCTAAAATACTGCTGTTTGTCTATAGGCACTCGTACCATAGTGAAAAAGTATTTCTAAGTAGTTTAACAGGGCTAAGAAATAAAACAAAAGATTGGAATAACATAGCTTGTACACCTTTGTTTGTGTAAGAGATTGTAAAAGACCACTTCCCAGTCTCACTATATGGCAAAGTTCAAGTTTTGGTAAAACTGCCAAAATTAATCTGTTTCCTCTCTGAATTTTGCTTTTTGTAAACAAACAAACAAACAAAAAAACCCCAAAACAAATTGTACATTTCTTCAAACTTACCTAAAAGCAAATTTTAAGATAACAGGGTTATTTGAAACAATGGCATTTTCCGATGCTGTGGGTATGACTTTTCTAATACTGCAGTGCTTAAAGCCAAACAAAGACGTGGCCTTGTAATGTTACACTACCTGGCTGTGTTGCATGAAAAGGCACTTCTTGCATTCTGTTACTGAGGTTAACTTCAAAATAAATCTTCTTTTCTGTTACCCTCTGCCACCATCACTTTTCTAACACTTTGTAATCCGTGCTTTTCTGATGTTTGATAACACGGCTTTGGGATACAGTGGCACTTTATATGCAACTTTCTTCAAATCTTTTTGATCACTGTTTTATGGGAAAGTGTCAGACAAGGAAAAGTACTTTTTTGGAAAGAAAATGATACTGAATTCTTAGAAATCTAAACAAAACCACAAAATAATCACACTGGCCATGAGTCCAACAGGGCAAAGTTAGCTTGATCTTGCAGTCTGAAAGCAGGTCTTTTTGCTACAAAAATGTTCTTTTGTTATCACGGACACTTTATAAACCTTCAGAACAAAGGCTTATAAATGCGAGCATAGCTAAAGATATCTGCCTGGAGTCTTTCTCTCTATGCATCATGCAGTTTAGACCATTATTAGATGCAGAAATGTCAGTTTTCTATTTTGACGCATGTTTGTTAAAATGTTGTTTCTGAGTAAAGAGAGTTGTTTCATCATCACAAAACAATCCTACTTTTTTTTTTTTTTTTCAGGAAAAAAATCCTGAATTGGTCCACATGATAAATAGCACTTTGATAACTACACTGTTATGCAAAAAATTGGATTTCCTGTATGTCTGTACATTAAGATGTCAGAACTCTTTCTTATTTTTCCAGTTATTTCTCCAACTTTGTTGTTACTTGTGGAGGACTGTAAAGTACACATATTGGGTTTACTTGGACAGGTGCTGGCAGTGGGGGACTGCAGGGGCAGCCCCTGTGAGGAGATGTCGGCGCTGTCTCATGCCACACACAAACGGTTCCAGTCTGTTCCACCCAGCTCCACAATGGACTGGTTTGAGCCTGGCAGCAATGCTGGTGCTGCCTCTGTGGAAAGATATTTAAGAAAGGCCAAGAATACCAGAGAACAGTGAGGAGAGAGGACAGGAAGAAATTCTTCACAGAGAGGGTGGTGAGGCACTGGAACAGGTTGCCCAAAGATGTTGTGGATGCCCCCTCCCTGGAAGTGTTCAAGGGCAGGCTGGATGAGGCTTGGAGCAACCTGGGCTAGTGGAAGGGGTCCCTGCCCATGGCAGGGGGGGTGGAACTAGATGACATTTAAGGTCCCTTCCAACCCAAACCATTCTATGCTTCTATGATTCTAAAAGTGTGAGTGACAGCCCTGCGAACAGCAAAGCTGGAGCAGAAGGAGCAGAGGTGCTCCAGGCGTGGAGCAAAGATTCCCTTGCAGACCATGAGAGACCAGCGTGGAGCCTGTGGAGGACCCCACGCTGGAGAAAGTAGATAGTCTCTGAAGAAGCTGCAGCCTGTGAAGAGCCCAGCTTTCCTGACAGGAACTGTGGGCTGTGGGAAGGACCCATCCCAAAGCAGGGAAAAATGTGAGGAAGAAGGAGTTTCAGAGGGCAACTGTTAGGGACTGACTGCCACCCACATTCCTTATCCCCCTACGCTCCTCAGGATGGGAAGGAGGTAGAGGAATTGCAAATGAAGGATTGAAGGTGAGCCTAGAAAAAAAATAGGGATGGGGGAAGGTGTTTGTTTAGTTTTTGCCTTTGTTTTTCACTATCCAAATCTATTTCAATTGCCAATAGATTGATTTTATTTCCCTAAGTCCAGTCCATTTCGCCCATGACGGTAAGAGATGATTTCCCTGTCTTTCTATTGATGTCAGAGCTTTTTTGTCTTATTTTTCCCTCCTGTTATGTTGAGGAGGGGAGGTTGCTGGGTGGGCATCTAGTGTCTGGCCAAGATAAACCCACCAAATCATAATATTTATAAAACTTTGAAACAATTCTGTTTAGCTATTTTTTTCTTTCCCACAAGTCTCACACTGAATCTCATCAATAGACTCAGAAACACTGTGATACAACTGTTGAAGTATGAATTCATTTGGTCTAATAAATGACCAAATACAGAAATACTAACAGATGAAAAGTAAGGTCCCCCAGCATCATCTCCTGGCAGAATTTAGCATCCAATACACCCAGTCCATTCTCTTTACAGGTAAGTCCCTTCATACTTACTTGGACTTGCAGTCAGTTGCTTGTGTTTGTCATGGAGAGCACTCAGCAAGTAGCAAGTGTCTTGAAGACCTTCCGCAATGTTCTCCAGCTGTTGGGTGAGAGATCTGCTCATCTCTTTTGTTAAAGAGGTCAGTTTAAGCACATACTCTGCTATACCTTCATTATCCAGATCACTTTTCAGAAGCACATCTCTCGCTAGCGAGTTCAGATCCCAGATTTTTTCCAGGAGTTGGCCTGATTTGCCTGCCGGTGTAATCTTACCTTCAGCCATTTCTATTTTATATTCAGAATATACTACTACAATTTTTTTTCTGCTCAAACACTTCCACGAGGTGTTGTCCTTGGTTCGGACTACACTGTTTAGTGTTTGTATCCTAAACAATGCTGGAAAAAGTACTATATTCACACACTAACGAGTCATACTCTTGCTCAGAAATTCTGAGTTGATGTTGACTATTAAAAAGTTACTAGGTGACAGAAAGGGGTGGCTCTTCTGTAACTAAGGGCAAGGATTGCCAAGAGATCCCAGTGTATACCAGACACCTTTGAGGGAGGTTATGTAACTCAATTATGTAGCAGTGACTTAAATTTCAGGAGTGATGAGAAATTTCTCACTTCAGTGGCTGTAAATGATCAGTATGCATGAAATCAAGATTATTGTGAATTCATAATTATATAGTCACCAACAATGAGGAAGTGTTTTCATTGTAAGCTAACATTAAATGCTGTAGGTCACTTGACACCATTTTCTGACAACCCTATTTCATTTGGTGTTATCGAATAGATAATAGAAGCATAGAATGGTTTGGGTTGGAAGGGATCTTGAAGACCAACTAGTTCCAACCCCCCTGCCATGGGCAGGGACACCTTCCACTAGACCAGGTTGCTCAAAGCCTCATCCAGCCTGGCCTTGAACACTTCCAGGGATGGGGCATCCACAGCTTCTCTGGGCAACCTGTTCCAGTGCCTCACCACCCTCTCCAGGAAGAACTTCTTCCTGATATCCAGTCTAAATTTCCCCACTTTCAATTTAAACCCATTACCCCTTGTCCTGTCACTACAGGCCCTTGTAAAAAGTCCCCTCCCAGCTTCCTTGTAGGCCCTTCAGGTACTGGAAGGCTGCAATGAGGTCTCCCCGGAGCCTTCTCTTCTCCAGGCTGAACAAGCCCAATTCTCGCAGCCTTACATCACAGGAGAGGTGCTCCAGCCCTCTCACCATGGGATGGGATGAGTCCAAGCTGCTGTGCAGTCTGGATGATGTATTTGAATTATACATAGGTATCAGCAATGCAAGAATCTACAAATCTGATTTTGTGATTAGCAAAAATATTTATTAGCAATAGATAGCTTTTGCAGGGGATTGCAACCTGGGAGGAAGCAGGGCCAGTGCCAGGCAGGGCTCCTGTGCTCTTCATGGGTCTTCAGTGGGTAGAAATTTGAGCACTGATACCTCAGTGATAGCATTTGCAATGATTTCAATTTCACACAGCAAGTTCAGGAAAAGAAGTCTCATCAGGGACAGCAAGGAAAACAAGTGGAGGAACACCACTGACTTTCTCTTACTGATGCTAGTTAGCACTGTGCTGCACCAGGGGACGACAGAAACCCTCATAAACAGATTTCAGTACTGGGCTAAATCTGAAGTATCACATACACCAAAATATTTTATAGCTTAAGAAATGTACTACACAAATTGTTGGTGTGGCTTTCCTACTAAACATTCCTTTTCATCGCCCATTATAAATATAATTGATGCAGCTTTATACTGCAATTAAAGTGGGAGTGTGATATAAAAGCACACTGAAAATTGCATCTAAGCATTACAAGAACTAATAAGGTAATGTCAGCAGAGTGCTTTGAAGATGTGAAGAAATGTATAAATATTAAAAATAACAATGAAAGATATAGTGTCTTTAATCAAATGCATGAGCTGAAACCAGCCCTAATTAGTAAATTCAAAATGAAAGTTTCTTTTGACTCATTATAGTTTGCTTGATCATACTCATAGTGTACTGCATAGCTAACACAAAAAGGTATGTGAATCATTAACCTATTTACCATTTCTGATAGTCCAGCATCTCCATATTTTTTGAAATTATTTCTAGTAAAAAAGGAGCTCTGAAAAGAACACACACTTTCACATACAGGAAGTGAAAAGTGTCATCTGCTTACCCAGAAGTTCTGGGAGGTGGTAAGGAAAAACTGAAGATGGGTACAAATGCATTATTATATATTATATATTTACTCTATAGTATTTCATAGACTGATTCCTCAGTGTGAATCCGTATTGTTCCCCTAACCATAGTACAGCTGGATTCATCAGCTCTGGATATTTTCCACCATATATATTTTTTTAGTTTACTTCATACTAAATCAATTATTGATGTGCAGATGTAAGTTATGAAAAAAATATGAGTAATTCAGAGATATTACAGAAAAGTGAGTGGATATTATCTGAAAATATGAGTCCCTGTATTAATATATAGTGTAGAGAATACTGAAGAAAATAAGGTACTGTAATAGATGACATATATGAAAGAGGAAGTCCTTCCAATGCAGTATGACGAATCTAGTACAAAGGTCATTTAAATAGAATTTATATCATACATTTAATGCTGGAGTTTTGCAATTACCTTAGGCTTGTATGTTTGTGAAGTTAAATTCAGTCTGGATCAGTTATCTGAAATGGTTTACTAGGCAGCACACCAGCTACAAAGACCAGGTTGAGACAGCTGGATAAGCAGACTTGATAAGGACACTATTACTCCATTCTCCAGCAGAGCCAAATAGTGAAACTATCATCTGATCTTTCAGCTTTTACTACAAAATCCTGAGCAGAATTTAACAAGACACACACACAGAAAAAGAGACACAAAGAAAAACGGTTCTGGGATATCATATCAGAAGAAACTCACAGATTTGGCCACTGTGGATCCCCAGTCTCACTGGAAATCCCTGCCTAAAATATATTCTTTAACTAGGAAAGAATCCAGCCCATAGGGGTAGGATGAAGAGACAGGCTATTATGTTTACAATTACATATGGACACCAGGTAATTAGTGTTGATTCACACGTTCCTAGCAGATGCACATGTTCTTTTCAAAATACCTTAACACTGTTGCACAGCTGATAACAAAGGAAGTGGACTTTGCTCTGCTAGGAAAAGAGGTTAGACTCTATGTTGTAGATCCAGTTAGTTCTACCTTTATACTCTGTGCATAATTCAAAGTTCAGTATGTGACAATAAATGCACTTTTGTGCATTTATTGATCTACTCATATTTGAAAATATGTGTAATGATTTTTCTTCCTGTCTCTGGTATTCTAAGGCCTGAGTGAGGAAACAATAATAGTATAAGAAAAGCAAAGAAAGTGCTATTGCTGTACCGTGCCTTAAAATTACATTATATGCTCATGGGAATGGTTCATTTAGCACTATTATCATAGCGTCCAGCGCTGAATGTTTTGAAGAAAGTCATAAACCCCTTGAAATACATAATTATGGAACAAAAGAGTTAGAGGTGTATCTCTTCCAGCAGAGTCACAGTACTTGACATCTTAACTATGAATCAGTGTGTACAAGCCTCATGTTAGGAAAGCAAAGTTCCAGAGTGTAGAAAGGAAGGAAGTCTGAGCCTGTGCTAAACCCCGAGGTACATGGCCACTCCTGTATTCATGTAAATGCAGCATGGTGGTGTTGGCCTGAATTTGCCATTATATTCAAGTTAGCTTCTCTGGAGGTTTCAAGTAACCAATGTTGAAAAAATAAGCCGTGCTCAGCTGAGCTGGGTTAGAGCTAACACACACAGAACATAGGATCAAGGTGCTAACTGTGTTTTTCTCATTTCTCATTTCTGGCCCTGATCTATGCCAAATTGCTCAGGCACAGTCTTTGGTTAGCTGTGGTCGGGGCGGTGGGGAAGCAGCTGATATTCTTTATGTGTTCTCTTTCAGTTTAATTGTTGGTAAGTATTTGTGAGTAGTTTGAATAATATTCCATGGGAGCAAATAATTGTCTATAAACAAAGACAAAGAGATAGCAGACTGGGACTTTATGAGTCCTGATGTTTGGTGGGCAAGGTCCTCATCTTTGGCAAAAGGAACTTCCAGACCATCTAAACCATCCTTTACTACTTGAGCATAGAACTACAAAATATAGAAAGAAAGTAGAGGAAGATAAAAATATCCTATTTACACTCTTCTACAGGAGATAATCTTGACTTAGCTGAAAACCTACTCTGCCTGAAATCCATCTTGAACTGTAATATACATTTCCTATACCTCCCTTTTGTGAAAGAAATACAAACCACTTTTATTGATGCTCCTCTTACAATGGACAACTCCTTGCAGGCACAAGAGAAGTAAGGTTTGATGTCAGATATGAAGATAAAGTGGTCTTTCACTAGCCACTGAAATACCCGAATCAGTTTTCATTACCTTTTTTTCCTGCTTATTTAGACCCTTGTTGCACTGTAGAAATGACAATTAATGGGTTTAGTGCATTAATTTAAACTAGAATTTGCTTTATTTTTAAATTTAATTCCCTTTTAATTTTGTTTTGTATGCAGGAACTGTGAAGGCCTCCAGGATTCTGAACACTCATAAACAAGCAATAAGTTTTGTAGTGCAGTAGCTTAACAGCATATGGAATTTGAATTCCATTTATGCACCAGTGTGCATAAAGAAAAATGATTTCGTCAAGATTTCAGTCTTGCATAGGTTTTTTTTCTTTATGTGTACAAAACTGAATTATCTTGAATCAAGTCTTCGGTGACATATTGGCTTTCCAGCTATTCTGTAAAGAAAGGACAAGATTACTACTGTGTGTCAAAAAGGTCATAAGCTTGATTAACTGTTTACCTGGAGAAGATCATAATTTCCACAGCCTCTCTGCAGTTTTGTCTCATTTTATAAGATTAAGTAATAACCTAATTATAAACTTTGGGAAAAACTGATTCTAGAAAGAAAAATTCCTTTTGATGTGATCAGCAATAGTATTTAGTAGTTATTAAACATGCTTGATGTTGTTTTAATGTTAGTGCTTAATTATATAAGAAAAACTGTAGGCTTTTCTGTCCAATATTGAAATGAGACTTATTTAATTGTAATTTTAATTAAATTTTAGAAAGGGAGAGTTAGAAACAACGCTTTAGAAAGTGTTGTTTTCTCTTGATGGTATTTCTTTTCCTAATGACAAAGTCAGTCTCAGTTATACTGCTGTGCTCAATAATAGGGTTAAACCTTCATTGCTCCTTAGAGATACCCTTGGTAA